GGTGATGGTGAAAATGATGAAGACGATGAAATCAGTGCCGAAGTTAAAAATTATTTTATGTGTTGGTCAGTCACGAGAAGGTTAAATTTTCAAATATGACAACACTTCGGACGTTGAACAACACAAAAGCCAGGTTAATAGTGGGAGAAAAATTCCTTCTTCAAAAGCCGAAAACTACGTCTCAATAAACATAACAGGCATAAAATTTTATCAACAACGTCATCGTGACGTCATCAACAATAGCATCAACAAAATTAATTTGTTGATGCTGTTGTTGATGACGTCACAATGACGTCTCCACTTCACGTCCACCACATCAACAACAACAAACACAACAACTACGATATCACAACAATACAGCAACATCAAAAACACAACATCAAAACAACAATATAGCAAAACAAAATCAACAACAACAACAATCCCAACAAAAGACAAAAGTTTCAGCTGAGTTGATGAGTTATCTGCAATACAAACACATGTTGTCCTAGGCTCTACAAAACACATGTTGTCCTAGGCTCTACAAAACACATGTTGTCCTAGGCTCTACAAAACACATGTTGACCTGGGCTCTACAAAACACATGTTGTCCCGGGCTCTACAAAGCTCGGTTGCTATCAAATTTATAAAATTTATGTATTAAATTAAACCACAATACGTGTAGGTGTCAGATATGTGTGGTATGTAATGTATGTGTGAGTTTATATGTGTGTTTATACATGTGAGAATGTGTGGAAGAGTGCTTTTTGTTAATCTTTAAGTCGTATTTCGTGTGGTGTTTATAAACGTTTGCGTGTGTGAGTGTCTGTCTGTGAGTGTGTGATGTATGTGTCTGTTTTGTGTGTGCATGTGTGTGCATGTGGCATGTGTGTTAAAAATCCACGCATTACACCTGGCATTATTTTTTTTCATTTTGTCGCATAAAAAATTTTTCATAAATATTTCATCCCAAACTGTCACCTATTTTGCAATTTTTTTTGTATTCAGTGCAAAATTTAAAAATTTGATGTTCGGTTTTTTTCTGTTTCTTTTGGTATGGTCGCATTTTGTAATTTTACAGATTTCCACGCGACAGATTTTGTTTAGGATTGTTCGTTTATATTTTTCAGTATAAGATTGAACATCTATAATAAAGCCATTACGTATGATTTATGGAGTTTGTTTGTGGTGTTTTTATTGTTAGTTTTGTATCTTTAGTATTGTTGTTAGTTTTGTTGTTGTCTCTTTGGCGATGTTGTTAGTTTTGTTGCTGTATCTTTGGTAATGGGAATACTTTTATCTGTATTTTTGGTTTATTTGAGTTCTTTTTATAATTTATTAATATTATTTTAAAACTGGCAATTTTTAAACCAATATTTAAAAATAGTTGAAAATTCCAAAAAATAAATAAAACTCTTGAGTTAAAAATTTCAGCAAAAAGCATAATGAAAATAATTGATTAATGTCTTTCCGAGGAAAATAATTTCAAATGTGAAAAATCGTTTTTGGCATCCAGTAGATTCGAACTATGAATGATTTAAACACTATCATTCATGGCGCGCATCTGCCATGCTCTGAAAGTAAAATCAGGAAATGAAAGATTTCTTGATTTTTTAATTTAATGTGGGATGGAAATTGTACAGACGAAAAAATTTAATAAGAATGATTTTTATTTAAAATTTATTTTGTTCATATGAATCAAACTTGAACCTTTAGATAAAAACAGAAAGAGACAAATAACTACTAATTTCTTTTCCCACAAAAATATATTTTTCATTTAACATCATACGAAAAATACAGTCAAAACATTCAATTAAAAATTATTTCTTATTTTGGCGCCTCGAAGATTTAGTAGCTGAAGGCGTCTGTTATAGGCTGCAGTGACTGCCTTTCTTGGTTCGAACGCAAAAAGCTCCCCGTAGAAATAGCACGTAGAAATACTCACCACCATCATCGCCACCCATACGCTTTAATCGTCACAATCACCACGAAAAAAATCCCCATCATCAACAAACCACCATCTTCATCGTCGTCATCATCATCATTTGACCTAGCAACAAACGCAACTTCTTAAATAGCAAAAAGAGGAGGCTTAATTTCATCTATCGCTATTTTGTTTTTTTGTTTGATTTTGTTGCCTTGTTGACTATTTGTTGTTTTTTCATATTTTGAACTTTCAATGCCGACGTAAAGATAATTTGAAATTCTTCAATGGAGGAACTGAATGAGACTTGATGCGACGACAGAATGATGATGATGACTATGAAGAAGATGATGACAATGACGATGACGACCTTCGGCATGATGATGCTACAACCACTAATGTCGGTGAAGCTGCTGTTGTTGCTGCTGCTGCATCTGTTGATGAAGATGATGATGATGCTGATGTTGGTGACATGCAGAAAAAATTCATCATCGCCAATTTAAAAACATATTTTTATCAATCTATCTTTTTTCTCTTTTACTTTAAATCATTTTCCCGACTACTGTCCAAAAATTTTCCATCCAAAAAATTCATTTTAAAAATTTATTGAATTAAACTTCGCGAAATATCTTAAAACATAAAATATGAGTCAGTTTTCTGAGAAAAGCCAACTATTGTTACTTGATGTCATACTCAATTTACAACAGCAAAAATGGCTCCATTTAGAATTATGATTGTGTTACAAATGGCGCCATATCATGTATGAAATGTAAGATATCCCTTCTATTTAGAGTTTTTTTTACCATAGAGTGGATCGTTGGAGAAATTTTTTTTTGTACCATGATGGGAAAAGCCATGAAATGTTGCTCCGTGTAAATAAATTTGGTGTCTATAATAATCAATTTAAAATTCGACTAAACCTACCGCCATGGGTCTGATTATTTTAACATTTTAACATTATTTTTTATTTCATCAAATCAAATCAAAGAGGACAGAGTCAATGAAATGAAATGATCTGGAAACCAGAAAGAATTGTTCTGGTAACGGTCACCAGTTTAATAAGAACATAATCATATGATACCTAACAATGACTCTAGTCACGTGCGCTATGATCTAGGTTTTTGTCTCCATCGTCATCAACCATCATCACATTACTCTATCATCCCATCGTTACAAGAGAAGTTGTCACAGTCATTATCATCATCGTCGTCGTCGTCGTCATCATCATCACAACTATAACATCATCTTCATCATTATAGTCATCATCATCATCATCACAACCATGACGTCATCATTACCATCAACTTTTTCACCCTTATCACGTCATCTCGTTATCCCATTTTCACCAGGAAATTCAATAGTCTTCCTGGTGATAATGTTGAGCAAGCAGATTCGTAGCACGGTGAACTTCTTCCTTGCAAACTTGGCTCTGGCGGATCTGTTTGTCGGCGTCTTCTGCATCATCCCCAATCTCATCTCCGCCCTCAATCAAGAGTTCATTTCCGGTTGGGTGAGTGGATTAGGGATGATTACGAAGATGATGACGGTGCTGGTAGTAGTGTTTGTGGTGGAGGTGATGATTATGATGATGGTGGGGTTGGTAATTGTAGTGCAGGTGATGATTATGATGATGGTGGGGGTGGTAATCGTGGTGCAGGTGATGATTATGATGATTGTGGTAATTATGGTAGAGGTGGTGATTATGATAATAGTGGTGGTGGTAATTGTGGTGGAAGTAATGATTATGATATTGGTGATGGTAATTGTGGTGATGATGATGATTTCCATGGTGGCAATGATGATATTGTTGATAATGTGTGGTTGTTGTGGTGATATGACAGACGTGACGATAATAAAATATGACACACAGCATATATAACCATTTATTTTTATTAAGAATTATTACAATATTTTTTTTTAATTTTGAAAAATAACTACAAAATCTCACGGAAAAAACAAACAAACTGCTCCGAAATTGATTTTCACGAACGATTCCACAAACAACCAACCAACCCACCCACCCATCTGCCTACATTTCAAATTCAGTTCACCTGCAAGACATACTTCTTCGTTCGAAGCCTCAACTACTCCGTTTCCATTCTCATCCTCACCATCGTCTCCCTCGAACGCTACTTCGTAATCGTCAACCCGATCTTGAGTCGTCGCTTCGCCAACAACTTAACGATCCGAAGTCTGATCATCAGTGGTGTCTGGGTCATATGTATTCTCTACGCTCTGCCCTATTTTCTTATTTACAACTACCAGTGCTCTATTGTCAACTCGATTAATGTCAGTGAAGTTATTGCAGATTTCAATGAGAGTTTGGTGAACTTGTCGAGCAATTTTGGAAATAAAAATGGAGATTTTGGTGAATTTTTGGGTCACTCGCCATCTCTCGTTCATTTTCATCACCATGGTGGTAATACGAGTGACTCGTTTGTTGATGCTAGAGGCGATAGCAGTGGAAATGATGATGCTGGTGATGGTGAAGACGATGATGGTAGTCACAACAAGACAGTTGATGGTGATGGTGGTGGTGATGGAGAAGAAGTTTATTGTTATTGTCTGCCAACACATGAATACATTCAGGAGGTTTGTGTAGGTTGTTCCGAAGATATTGATAATGATGGTGATGATGATGATGATGATGGGGATGATGATGATGGTGGTGGTGGTGATAATGATGATGGTGGTGGTGGTAGTGATGATGATGATGATGGTGGTGGTAGTGATGACGATGATGATGAACATGATGTTTTGATGAACATAGTTTTGATGCTAATAAGGGATACCGAAAAATGTTTGCAATACAAAGTTTATGAAAATCTCTTCAGCGTACGTAAGATAACACCACCTATCATTTAATTTAATTGATACAGACATTAGAGCCAAAGCCAGTTGATGTTTTTGTTGATGCAGTTGTTGTTATTGTTGTTGTTGTTGATAATGTCATTGCGGTAATTTTGTTATTGGCTGAGTAGTAGTTAATGCTGGGCTGTTGTTGGTATTGTTGTTTTTTGTGTTTCTCTATTTTTATTTTCACTGCGGATTTATATCCGGGTATGGTATGCTAGTCGTCATCATGGTCAAATTAGAATCTTTCCACTTCTGTCAAAATTGAAATCATTAATCTTCATCATCATCGTCATTCTCATTTGAATCAATCATTTTCATTAATCTTCAACATCATCATCGTCATTCTCATCATCATCGTCATCGTCACCACCATCCTTATCATTGCTATCCTCATCTTCATCATCTTCCCTACCGTAGTGTGATCATCGCGAATGATTTATCCACTTCGGACCCACATATGCACATTGCACAGCTCTGTGAAGCGCCACAAAAATTGCTTGTTTGCTTAATTGGCGACAAAAAAACTGTGCTACTGTTTGTCTGTTTGTTATTATGATCGTGTTTGTTTGTTCGTTCGTACTTATTATGTTTGATGTTTAGTATTATGAACGTGTTTGCTTGTTCATATTTTGTTCGTCGTTAATTGTCTTTGTTGTTTGTAGTTTTATTATAAATTGCAGTATATATAACTATAAATACTATTACTATCATTACAACAACTGCTACCACTACAACTAGTAGCACTACTATTACTGCAAAAAATAACAATAACAATATCAATGAAATAAAAACAACAACAACAATAATAATAATGATAATAATAAAAGAATAATTATGATTATAATGTGAACTCTTTTATTATCAAAGCCAAGTAAAATCAAAATAATCAAATAAATAGACAAGCAAAATAAAATATACAAATAAATAAATACAGTTAATTGTTAAAAAGATATGGCTAGTCATCGCTGATAATAATAATAATAATAATAATAATAATAATAATAATATCACCAGGTTTACAGCATAATAGATTTCACGTGCTTCTACGTCGTTCCACTCGTCCTCATGAGCATTGTCTACATTAGGATTTCGCGCGTACTTTGGAGTTCAGAAATTCTCCAACTACAACTTTCGTCGACAACAGCCACAACATCAGCCAGGGCTACTTCAACAGCAAGGGCAGCTACTACAGCAGCCACGATGCTTACCGTTGCTGATAACGCTAACGTCAACGTCGTCAAACCACAGCAAAAACAACACCACCAACAACAACAACAGCCACATGAGTACAAGTCATCGTATCAATGTTCTACAAAGAAGAACATTGACGGTGTTAATTTAGCTGCTGAAAAAGCTTCAAGAGATGGTTTCGATGATATTGTTGAATGCGCCGCTGAAAATTATTGCCCCGGGAATGAAAAGAAATTATTTGGTCGAGAAAATTTTCTGACGAGCACCGCGAAACTTTTCAAGAAACGTCATAGAGGCGTTTCTAACGTTCATTCATCAGAACGCACGAACCCAGAGCAAGTACACATGCACTTGATTACTAATACATCTGTCCGTGTTTTCAGTGCAAATGAATATAAGAAGGACGTTCAACCTTGCGTTCAAAAGCCACAACAACAACTGTTGTTCGAACAACAAAATTTTCGAAAGAATGGTGAGCCCAAGCAGCAGAGTCACCGCGCAACGAAGAGGAACATGATATTCAGCCAGCAACACAAAAAGCAACACTTGAAACACCAGCAACATCAGCAGCAGCATAAGCCACAAAACGATTTCAATTCCGCCGACACTTCGAGTAGCAGCTGTGGTCAGCCCTCCCTCAAAAACAGCAACAGCAACAGGACTAACAACAACAAAAAACACATCTCCCGGTTTTCACTATCGCAATGCTTTAGCCGCTTGCACAAAAGAAACAAAATAAGAAGGAACGACCAATTCAAGGAGTCCTTCATCTCCACTTCGTCTGCAGAACAGCGCACAGGAGCCACAAAAACATGCGCGTTTGAAGCTTCTCCCCATTCTACCACCGCCAACAACTACACAAAACTACCATCGGAGTATCGATTCCAAGCTCCCAAGAAACCCTTCACATCAAGTTTTTCATCGTCAGTCAAGTCCTCAACGAATGTCAACAAGCCGTCAATGCGAGCGCGTCAGAAAGTTGTGCGGCTGTTGATCGCGATGGTCTCCATGTTTGCTCTTTGCATGCTGCCGGAGCACCTTTATTTCATCATTAAGAAGTTTGTCTTCATTGAAAATTTCACCGTCGACTTCTGTTTGCTGTTGTTTCTGAGATTACTCTTCTGCAGCTATAGCGCCATCAATCCCATTCTCTACTCCTTACTCTCTCGCAAATTCAGAAAAGTTCTCTGCTCCAGGTGCGCTAAATATTAACTTATTAAATTTAAGAAGCAGAGATGACCAAAAGAGGAAAATTTGTATTTTGGTGTTGCCGCAATGTCGTCTGCACCTTTGTAGAGAGGAGTTTCAGTTGTTAACTCGATAAATATTGAGGTATTATTGAATTTCCAGACAATGAGTTTAAAAAAAAATTTTTTTTTCATGCTCGATTTACAGACAGATTACTACTTAAAAACAATAGACTGGACATCGTTATTTTGTTTCTACCATCGTATAATTTATTATTCGTGTTGTGTTTGTACGCCATTTGAACAAGAAAATTTTTTAAAAGATTTGTTGTTTTTGCTCCACAATCCTACATACTACAGTTACAGTTCTGAAATATTATTTAGAAATATTATGGAATAAATATAAAATAAATTGAGTTTATATTAGAAGGAGTCCTTTAAAATATTTTTCAAAAATGTTAATTTAACAAAAAAAACGCCCATGACAACAACTTTTGAAATAAAAATAAAACAAAACATTTTATAACATTGTAAAATTATTGTTTAATTTGTCGTTAGAGAAATTAATACATTAACAAAAACATTTTAGATGAAATTTTTAGCAACGAACCAAAATTAAAAACAACAACATTAAGATGACGTCACGAATGTTTTTGTTTGAAAAAATATATACCATTTAAAAATATTCGCCTGTAAAGAATTAGAACGTAATTTTTTTTATTCAATGGCAACTTGCCTGGAGAAATTAATGAAATTAATTAGGCAATAAAGCATTCGTCGCAAAATTAGCATCTCTTATGTGCAATAAAGATAAGGCGTGATTCGCGTTGCAGTTGAAAACATGCTCCTTAGGGCAGCCTTTCTTGTAAACTTATTTTTATTTAAAGGTATGGTTGAATGTGTTTAATTGTTGAATAATTTTTCTTTTAAATTATATTTTATCTTTGTGTTTTTCGTTGAAAAATTTTCACAAATTTTTAACTGTATAAAAAGATGTCTGTCAGCGTCTAAACGTAAATATATCACACTACATAAGCATATATTCATCAGCATGAAAGCAAACTTTACATACAACTGACTTAATTACAAAAAATATCTAAAATTCAAATTATAAATGTTCGTCGCAAAGAGAATCAAATCTTTTAAGTTTTTAAGTGTATAACAGTCAATAGCTTCTATTAAATATTACGTTTAAGGTCTCCTCCAGACATTCCAGATTGATATTCCAGACATTGAGCAGCCAAAGTGCAAGCCAAATGAAGAGCACTGTCTCATGTTTACACTCGTCGACAAGTCAAAGATTATAAACAATCTGCCAGATGTTGAAAAACATTGCAACGAGAAATTTGTCAAAAGCTACCCGCTAGAAATGTACGACGATGAAATCAATACGAGAATCAAACATTTGATAGAATCTGAAAACCTAAATAAAAATAAGACTATATTCCCTCTTCAAATGAAGTTCAACACGAACCCATCAACCTATTTTAATTTGCGACTCTATAAAGTTCCAGGTTAATACTTTTTATTTTTAAAATAGTTTCAGAGCTGGATTTAAAAATATGATAACCCTGAGCAATAAAGTAACGTAAGCACCAATTTAATTAAAGATAAAAAAAATTTCATCAAATTTGATAAAAATTTATTGACAACATATGAAATTCTTTCCATAACAAACGTAGCGTTTTGCCAGCATACCTTCTTCACTTTTCTCGAATGAATCCGGTTCAAATCAGTTTTAGTAAACCTGTAAAAAAAATTTATTTTAGTATATAAAAGCAGTCAAAAACTTACATGTTAATGCTTTTAATTAATTATGTTTGTATATTTATATACAAAAATTTCATGAAATTAAAATCATTATATTACCAGCGCCTATCAACCATAAAAAATATGAAAGTTTTAAAAATGAGCCCTATGCTTATATGGCTATAAAATTTAACAACACGAATTGAGAGATGGTGTCTGAGGACCACACGGAACAACACAGGATCCTCTGCAGGTTGCCTCAAGCTGCTGAAGATTGCTCGAGACCTGCTAACGTTACAAGAAAAAAGAGAGCTCTCTCAAATATCAAAATACCAGATGTAATAAATAAATTAAGAAATCAAAGCAGTTTTAGAAATAAAGTTTCAACTAGAAACATAACGGGAATTTTAAAAAATACACAATATATACTGCATAATAAAATTAAAGTTATGGTTCATTCTCTGGCTCGTAAACCTCATGTGCTTGAAGAAGTAAGCGTTGACGACTGGAAGAAGCATGGTGTGGATTACGTCAAGTTGAAAAGTGGTCTGCCTAGTTCTGATCACAACATCATCCGGATAGATGCTTTTTGGGTCAAATATTCAAGAATAGATCCAAAATTGTTGAGACGTTTTTTTAAAAATTGATGCTAGCAATGAGACAATCTTAAGAGAAGATAGATTGAAAAAGCTTGAAATAAACAATTCACTGATTCCAATGTATGTTGAGGCTTTAAGAGAAATTGACAACTTGAATAAAACTGATCCTTTTGTAGAAAAACTTCTCACAAAAAGGGGATTACTGAAAATTTTTCTATCTATGCTCTTGAAAAAGTTTATAATTATTTGAGTAATCTAGAAAAACTTGATATTTCAAAAGTATGCATTATGGCTAATAATCTTGGAGCCATAATAACCGATAGAAGACTGCGATTATTGGATATACCCGTGAAACTTTATAGACAATTTGAGAAGTCACTTAATTCAATTCCTTTCAAATCCACCTTATTTGCAGATATCAAAGAGTCTCTCAAAGGTTTGTGATTTTGTCAATGAAATATTTGCCCCCATGCTCAACTTCAGCTGGAAATCATTTTTAAAAAAAACCATCTGGGCAGAGATAATAGAAAATGTATCAGAGGAAAACTTTGGGAACTTTTCAACGTGTTATATGACAATAGAAACGAGATATTTGATTTTGTTTCAGAGAAGCAATTAATACAAGATTATGGTTTAGAGGTGTCTGAAAAGGATAATTTAAATGTTGTTGTTAGGAATATTTACGATGGAATAAAGTCTCAAAAAATCAACATAAATTCGATAATAGCGCTTATAAAAAAACTGAAAACATTTGATTGGGGTAGGCTAGTAAACGACAGTTCGCTGAGTGACACGTTAAAAACATTGAATATAAAAAAATTAGGAGCTATTATAGCAGCAGTAAAAGATAATATCTTTGTTGACACACCTGAACTACTTTTTGATTACGAACTGAATCCAAATGATTTTGAAAAATACAAGAAAGTCGCACTGTCAATTGCAGAAGGACTAAGTAAAATGAACATGTCTTATTCGTCTGTCGTTAGCACCCTGGCTAGAGGGTTTGAAAAGAAGTTTATGAAAAGTATAGAAAGCGGCAAGCTAAACATCAACATGAATGGCTTAGGTAAAAAAATAAGAAAAAAATTAAATTTTACAAGACTCAACGCAGACCCGTTCGACATTAAAAATGACGAGTTGAAAGACTTAGGAATGGATAACGAAACATGGAATCAAATTTCGTATCGCATTATCGAAGAGGGAGAGGATGCGAGGGGCAACGTGGAGCAAGATAGAGTAGTTTATCGTGACAGCATAGGAAGCGATTGCATAGTTGTGTATTACGGGGTCACTTCTTGGTACGAAGCTCAGTCATTCTGCGCTGAAAAAGGTGGATATTTGATGGTTTTCAAAGATGACCAAGATTTTGCTCTTTTGGACAAGCCTGAGTTGAAAAATGTTCCCGATCTATCATCCGTTGGACTGGTGCTGCAAGAAATTATTGGACCTGGATGAGCAACGGTTGGAGATCTTTTTTACATTTGTTATCTTTCAAAATTATTGACTCGTGTTGACAATTTTTAACTTTTTAATTTTGAAAAAATTGTGAATAGGTTTTTTAAAAAGTTCAAATAAACATCACAAAACTGAAACAGAAAATGACAAAAATTACCCATCAAACATTTATTCTACTTATAACCAAGCCAGTTTGCATTCATTCTTTTTTCAATACATTACCGAAAATGTCCTCATTTTGACAAAGGTACCTCCGTGATATGGAGCACATTCTCTTCCTTCACGACACACTTCAAGGAAAATCACGCATACTTTCAGTTCGGTGCCAACGCCGACAGTTGGTTCGTCTCCAGCCGGTGGGAGCCTTCAGCTGGCAGGCAGGCCGTCATTTGTACAGTTCGTTAGTAGTTTATTACACCCTCCTTCATTTGGCGTTCATTTCGGACCAAACATTTCGCAACGACGAATCATTTCATTAAACTGCAAATGTAAACAGAACTAAAAGATAGACCGTGTTAAAAGCATATTATTTCTTCACAGATTTGAGTTTGGAAATATTGGAAATATTAAAAAATCTGAACACTGTTTACTGAATGAATGTATAGCAATGAATTTTAAAACTTACCCTGTAGGGGAAATCCACGTCAACGCTCTAGCTTATGGACTTTCAAATCGTAAGTGACACTGTCTTGCATTTCTCTACCTTTCTCTAACATTTTCTGTTTATGTTATGTTTATGTCTTGGAAAATTAACTTCTTCAGCTGTAACAAATGATAATAAAACAAAATTTTGGAAAAAAAACACATGAAAAACTTCAAGAAATTAATTATTAATGTCTATATAAAAATTATTAATTTTTATTAATTTATAATGAACGATTTCAGCAGAACGAATGTGCAAAATTTTTAACTTTGGAAAAATTTTTTACGACCGCTTAAAACTTTGAACAGCATGGATCGTTGTTGGGAGTTTTTGTATGGTCATCTTTCTGCTCGTTGTCGTCGTCGGATCCGTCTATTATCGATTCATTTACAAGAAGTTTGTTTTCGGATATTTTGCGCTTCTACCATACAAATTTTTAAACCTCGTTGGATGTGATTCTAATTCTTTTCTAGGAGTTACTTTGAATATAATTATTTAGCATTTTTAAAAATTTATAATACGAAGATTGTTTAATTTTTTGTAAAGAAATCACGATTTTCATAAAAATTAATTTTTTTATATTAATCAAAAGCATCAGTAACAAACACACAGTGTCTATGTACGTGCACTTGAATCAATGCTAAACGGAGATCTCTTCGCAACCGAACCTGGTCACAGCGGCAACAAGGACAAGCACCTTAACCATTGCGCCATTGTGTCCTCTCAAATCAAATCAATGCATATCTATAAATGAAAATTAATGACGTTGATAATTTTTTGACAGAAAATACATACCTAATCCTCTGCTTGTCAAAACGTCATCAGCTAGCCCACCTACGACTCCAGCTGTCACACCTGCAGATGCAAAGAAGTAAAAAGCAACCGAAGCTGCTGCCAAAGCATGAAGAGCTAATTATAATTTTTCCTATGAAGTATTACCTTTCAGCATAATATTTACATGCATCTTTTTATGATGAATTTTTTTTTAAGAGATGCCACTTAGATCTTGACATTTTTTTAAAATAACTTCATTGAAACATCTTCGGGGATTGTAAAAAAATATTCAGCCGCATTTGTTAGACGTTATATGTCCAGTGATTGTGAGTCATTCAGCTGTCGGTGCTGACTGAATAACCGACCATCTAACAAGTTTGATTTTGGTTCCATTTATTTCAATACTTTCTGACTGATACGAGAATGACAGTTAAATTTTCCAAATTTACAAAAGGTTCAGGAAATTATAAATTCTAAACACACAAAATAAAGAAAATTAAATTATAGTTAGAGCTAAAAATTAGTATAAGGGGGTATTAGGAAATTTGTTTAGCGATGAAAAAATGTCAGAAGATATTGTATTGATAATTTTTCAAAACTGTAAACCCATAAAATGTGATCCTGTACTACCTTATTTTCATCTATCCTGTTGAGTTTATGTAGTAAATATATAGTTAGATATATAGTACGTACATATTTCATTTGCACACTGATTGTTTCAGCTAAAACTTGTTTAAATTATGAAATTAGAATGATTTTGTGTAAATTTTTTAATTATATTTTCTGCTTTTCCACTAAAATGATCATTAATTGATATAATTAAATATTTAAAATACTTAATACTAATAGATGAATTTAAACATTTAAAACTTTTAATGTCAAAAATTCTGTTCAAACATTAAATACCCATTAATATTATCAACGAGGAATAAAAACCGTGGAAAATTTTTTTATGCAAACAAATCTCATCAACCTGACGTCATTTCATTCTCCAAAAACAAAACAATACCACTTATTACGGACCAACGGTCTGCCGATATATATATTTTTAACATTTCATCAAATGAGATTTAAAATTTCGTTAAAGTTCCATGCATTTTTAATCAAATAAAATGAAACACGTTAAAGCTAGACATGTGAAAACCGTCGAAAATAAAATATTACAGAAGATAAACACGTAACTTCGATTTTGAAATGCTGATTGAAATATATATCATGCTATACCTGGCCTATATGAAAGGTGAGAATTGTCTATTATTTTTTCCTTTTTGATGTTTATAAACATAGATATCTGGAAAAATACTAACTTAACGGTTTTGATACAAAGTTTTTAGAAAAATTTTTCAAGTTCAGTTGTATTTTATCATCTTTTTTTCTTGCGTCGATAATCCGGTTAAAAATAATTCTGAAGTAACATCGGAAAATAGAAATTTTTTTACATGTTTGTGTGTGTGTGTGTGTGTTGTGATACTTAAATTTAGAAAAAAAAATAACAAAAGCTATGTAAAAAATTTTGGTTAAAATCTCTTGCGCGTGTTCATTAATATGCATGAAATAACATTTGAAAATACTAAGCGATTAATTTATTACAAATATCAAAATTTTATATTTTAATAATATTATATATAATAATATTTGAATGTTATTGTTTCAATGATTTCGTAATTTCATGCTCAAAAGATAAAATTATCGCACGCAATATTTTTTTTAAAGTAAAAGTTAAATGAATAATTTAAATTTCATTAAAATTTGTGAAGGCCTAGTAAAAGCAGTTTCTGTGAAGGACATTGACTTTGATGTGAAAAGTTTGGGGGTCCCAGACTGCTACACTGATTTAGATTACTGCTTCATGTTCGTCAAAAGGGACAGGCGGGAATCTATAAACAATTATATTGATGCTGACAATTATTGCAAAAAGAAATTTGGACCAAGCTTTCTTTTAGAGATGTACGATGATAAAATGAACGAGAGGATGAAGAAGATAATAGAGAATAAAAAAAAGTACAAGCAATCAATCTTTCCTCTCAATATGGAATTTCATTCAAGTCCATTTTTATATTACCAATTGGATACTTTTAAACAACCAGGTTTATTGGATTGAATGTTTTAATCAATTGAAAATTGTTGCTTGAAAAAATAAATTAAACAAAATTAACAATTTTCACGAAATTTGCAGAACGCATTATTCATGATAAATACGCAAGTCTCTTCAATGAAACGTACGCCTACATAGCCATAAAATTCAATGACAAAGGTTGGGAGATGGTGTCTGAGGACCACACGGAACAACACAGGATCCTCTGCAGGCTGCCCAAAACTGCGGCAGATTGTTCAAAACCTCTTGACGTTAAAAGAAAAAAGAGAGCGCTTTCAGTTATTAAAATATCCAATGTCGAAAACCAATTGAAAAAACAACTTAGCTATAAGAAAATAAAATTATTGAAAAACGTGATAAAATTGTTTAATAAGAAACACAATGTCTTGAGCGTTATGGCTCATTCTCTAGCCCGTAAACCTCATGTGCTTGAAAAAGTAAGCAGTGAAGAGTGGAAGAGGTATGGCGTGGATTACGTAAAGTTGAAGAGTAGTCTGCATGGTTCTGATCCCAATTATATTCTGATAGATGCTTTTTGGTTCAAATATTCAAATTTGGATGCAGAATTATTAGAAAAAATTTTAAAAAGTGAATCCAACAATAAGACAGCTACAAAGGAAGATAAATTAAAAAAGGTCGGAATAAATGACACATTGATCCCAATGTATTCTGAAGCTTTGAGAGAAATCGCTTACTTGACTAAAAAAGTTCCATTCCTCAAAAGACTCATTGCTAAAAGAGGACTTCTAGACCCATATATGAGATCTATTTTAAATAAAAATGCAGTAAGCATGCGACGAAATAATGTTGACATTTCAAAAGTTTGCATGGTAATTGAATATTTGGGGATTGAAATAGCACCAGAATTACGAGAAACATTGGATATATCTGAGGAACTTTATACCTCAATAAAAAATTATTACGAAGATGTAAAGTTTATGTTTAGACAAAAACATTTATTAGATGACCAAATAAAGAAGGTGTGTGAAGTTGTTAAGTTAATATTTCACCCTTTCCTTACATTAAATTGGACCTCAGTTTTAAAAGGGCCTTTTTGGGCTGACATTATAAATAAGCTAGACAATGATGGTTGGAGAGGACTTTTGAAAATGATTTACGACAATAAAGATAAGGCATTAGAATTAAGTATGGAACCTGCGCTACTTGACAGGTATGGCTTAGATTCAAATGAAACCGAAAATATAAAAAATGTCTACCAAATCTTAGTTGACGGGGTAAAAAGTTATAAGTTTAACATAAACACGATAATAGCTTTAATTAAAAAACTGCAAACGTTTGATTGGAGTAGGCTGATAAACAACACTAAGACAAAAAACTCATACAGATCGTTAAACATGAAAAAATTAGGAACTGTTATTTTGTCAGAACAAGAAAATATTTTGAAAGCTACACCCGAGGACCTTTATAGATATGATATAGATCCAGATAATTATGAACGTTATAAAACTGCCATAAGTAGTATAAAAGAAGAGCTGACACACATGGTTATGAATTTTTCAGCTGTTGTTAGTACCATAGCTAGAGGGTTTGTGAAAAAAACATGTAAAGGGGTAACGAGCCGCAAACTAAACATCAACCTGGAAATTTTAAACAACAATAAAAATATAACGAGCTTTTTAAATTTTATGAAATTCAACGAAGATCCGTCCAAAATATCAGAGGATGAGTTAGCAAAAATAAAAATGAACAAAGACCTCTGGAATCAAGTTTCATATCGAATCATCGAGGAAGGAGATTACGTGAAAGGCGACATAGAACAGGATAAGGTAGTATATCGTGACAACGTAGGTAGCGATTGCATGGTTCTATATTACGGGGTCACCTCGTGGTACGAAGCTCAGTCATTCTGCGTTAAAAAAGGCGGACGTATGATGGCTTTCAAGGATGACCAAGAATTCGCTCTTCTGGACAAGCCTGAGTTGAGAAATGTTCCAGATTTGTCTTCCATGTGGACTGGAGCTACAAAAAATTTTTGGACCTGGAAAAAAAATGGTAAAATATTTTTGTTTCCTTAAAATTTGTTGAAATATTATTAGAGTTGTAAATTTTGTTAAAATTAACAAATAAATAGACAAATGAAAATGATTATTTTATTTTGCCGGAATTTTTTTGTAAATTTTCAAAAATAAAAAAATGTTAATTTTATTTAACAACTATTAATTTTTTACCGAATTCAACGGCAAATCGATTGAAATTTGCGCAACCAACATAAACGAAAACAACATTGAAATGAATTTAAAAAATTGAAAACAAGGCACGTCAGTCGTCTGGAGTACCTTCTCGTCCTTCACGGCCCCCTTCAACAGCAACTATGTCTACTTCCAGACAGGCAATCCGTACGCCGAGAGTTGGTTCCTGTCCAACAGGTGGGAGCCGGCTGCCGGACAACAGGCCGTGATGTGCATTCTTCGTAAGTGGCTCTGTGAATAACGGTTCCAATCATGCAATCCTTCATCAATCATCAATCAATCATCAATCAATCAATCATCAATCAATCAATCGATCGATCGATCTATCAATCGATCAATCGAATCAATCGATCAATCAATCAATAAATCAATCAACCAATCAACCAATCATTCAATCGATCAATCAATCAATCGATCAATCGAATCAATCAATCAATCAATCAACACCCAATCCGCCGAACCTTATCGCCCCAGTCAAAATAGACAACTTTGTATTATATACCGCTTTCCAAACTTGTATTCCGCCGTTCACTTATATATATTTTTATTTATTTGTAAAAACATGGTCATTGGTTTGTAGAGCTTAATTGAAACAAAGCCAAAGATCAATCAGTTAATGTATAATACCATTTTTAAAGAGATTTAAGTCTATTTTAAATATTTTCATGTACAAAAAATGTGAACTCATTTTAAACTAACAGATAAGTCGGATAACAGCTGGAAGAATTTGGCGAAATCAAACCGTTAGGGTTTTTTTACTGTTTATTTATTTCACTGTCTAACTAATTACCTTTTTAAATATTAACCGTCAATGATTTGCTTTTAATTGTAAAATGTTTTCTTTATTATAAATTCGGTAAAAATATTGAATAATAGTCTTAAAATAATTCATTCCTCAGTCGCACCTACGAATCGTCACGTATTTTCTGTATATTTGGTAATAAGAACGTAAACCAATATGATGAACTTCATTAAGAAAACTAATAAGAATAAATATATCAATCATAATTTACAAGAGTTGCTCGATTGAACTTTGAATAAAAATAATTCAAAAAAATTTTAAAATGTTAAAAAAAATGAATTCTTCATTTCCAGCCGTGATAACTGCGTCAATCCTATCAACTCTCATATTCTTGCTCGTTGCTGTCATCGGCGTGTTGTACTACAAACTCATCTACAAAAAGTACCATAATTGAACTCTTTAAATTCTTTGTCTTTTTGTTTTGAGGCAAGATGATAGGTCATTCAGTTGCTGTGACCTGCTTTGAATCTAACTTGATTCACGTTTATTATGTTTGCAGTGTGTGCGTGTGTGTGTGTGTGCTGTTTATGTGTATTTTGTGCGTATGTGTGTGTGTGTGTGTGTGTGTGTGTGTGTGTGTGTGTGTGTGTGTGTGTGTGTGTGTGTGTGTGTGGTTTCATTCTTATCTTTGTCACCTGCACAGTGTGTTCGTGGTGGTGGACACTTCAAAAAAAATTTTTCTTAAAGAAAGGATGATGATGATGATAGCAAAACTGCCTAATGTTTGCAGGATGTTTTGGAAAAGAACTCGAAGACCTGACATACATTTTTTTTATATCGTAAAAAAAATTTTTTCTCATTTTTACTTGATGAATTAAGAAACGATAATTGACATGTGAATATAGGAAGTACCTTCAAAATGCCGCTGCACCTGGCCAGCCTACAAATCCGAAGAGAATGTCAAAAGTCGTTTCTGCAACCACAACCGGTACCAGCTCAACATCCGATTAACAAACGACTTTCACGGAAGCATTAGTTCAATCCATCACGATCATTTGTGGTGCTCTGTGGTTTTAACATTTAGATAATGTTTTAAAGAGGATTATTAATAGTTCATTTAATAACCGTATTAATTTTAGCTAATTAGCGTAACTACTATTTGTTGCAACTTTTTCATTGAAACAACTCAAAAAATTTTAAAATAAAAACTGAAAAAATTGTTCTTGAATACGTATAGAAAGCAAAAGTTTGGCAAGAATTTCACTACAACTTAGTCGCATACCAGATTCCAGTAAATATATAATTTATAATAACCCAAAGTTCTTTTAAATTGAATTAACTCGTTTCAGACTTGGTTAAGAGCTATGTAGGTGCACGTACACTAATGAGAAAACATGTAGCTTATACAAAAACGTCTTGGGGCTGAAGTTTTCTAGAAAATGTTGTCCCCAAATTAAATGAACAAATTCTTCTCAATTGACAACCTTCTCAAAATACTAAGCGATACATTTTTAATAAAAAAAATATCTCACATAGATTCATTAATTGCCACCTTTTCCAACGTAAAATCAACTCTAGTATACTTCTAGCCAGTATATTTAGTTCGAATATCTTTGAACTTGAAATCCAAATAAATGACTTGTTAATAAAATGACTTGTTTTATGTAAATTCAATGTTGGACGTTTATATGTAAATTAGGCATTCGGTTAAGATACTCGTTAAGGTTCTTTTGATTCATTAGGATGATAGAACATTTTTACACGATCAAACTGTCATCAAATTGAACAAATTTTTGAAAAAACATTCCCGTTTTTGTTTCTTTGCAAAATGACGTTATTTAATCAGCTTTTTTGAATTTTTTTAATAGTAAACAAAATGAAAGTCACAATTTTTTTATTTTTATTTGTAACATTTAAAAGTGAGTTCAATTTGTCTTTCTCATTGACAATTTATCAATTCGAGCGCGAATCAAACATGCAAATTACTTTCATAATTTACTGCAATTTTCACTAAAACACCTCAACGAATTATAATATTATCCTCTAACTTCCCATGCAATTTCAACACGTGCAGACAAACATTACCTGACAAGTGTAGGAGCCCAAAGCCCCATATGTAGCTATCACAAGGAACACTGCTTCTACGTGGCCCAGAAAAGCGAGATGGTATCCATGGCTAGCATCGGCAAGGCGGATGATATTTGCAATGAAAAACAAACTGGAGGCTATCTACTGGAGCCTTACACAAAAAGCGTACAGGCAGGGGCAAATAAATTCGCCGAAAAGCATGCTCCCAAACAAAATATTTTTCCTATAAATGCCCAATTCACAAAGAGGAGAAAGTTTATGAACATTAAAGCAAATGATAATCCAAGTATTTTGTTTTTTTTGTCAGTGTAAATTTTTAAAAATTAATTTTTTGCTAGTTAAAGTATTTAAAAATTTGGATATGGTAAACGTAAATTCTGCTGTAATAAATGTTCCATAGTTTTCCATATGAAAAATAAATAAAGTACCATTACAATTACGGTTACAAGAACTTTTTTTGGTTTCCAGATCATTTCATTTTATTGATTCTGTTTACTTTAATTTTATTTGATCATGGAATAAAAATGTTAAATGTTAAAAAAAATAAATAAACAACCAAAAATGAATAAAATTATAAATTTTTTCATGATCTATTTGATAATTGTTGTCCTCATGAGACTGCTCGTTGACAATAATTAATTTCTTTAATTTGCTATATCAGCTGACAAACCGACCTCTCTTTCGTTGGCGGAGGAAGCGCAAGTGTATAATTACGTCTATGGAGAACTCGGTGATGACAACAAATCATGGGTCTTCCACTCGGCAGATCACGAGCAATACCATTCTATCATCTGCCTTTTCAAGATTAACAATAAAGAATGCACCAAACCATTGAAAGCGGCGAAAATGGTTTTGGATACTTCATATTTAAAAAAATATCAGACAGGACATCCAAAAGAAACTGCAAAAAGAGTAAAACTCAATAGAACTAATTTTTCTCCGAAGGTAAACGAAACGAAAATTGAAGGGACAATAATAGACAATAAATTAGAAATAAGTAACGAAAATTGGATTGAATTTTTAGACTACATGGGAATGATGACAGTTATCAATGTAACAGCATTCAACAACAATTCCACGTTAAAAAACATGCTGAAGGAACTGCTGGCCTTCTCGAACAAAACCTACGAATTCACGGAAGAACACTTGCGAGAAGTATCGTCGAATGTGACTGCTTTTAAGAAATTAGATAAACTTTTGGATTTTTTGAAACCAAGATATAGATTGAAACCACCTTACAGAGATAATTTAGTTTTTAAAGCAGGTTTTTTTGACGGAAGCCTTTTTAAAATGGCAAAAGAAAAATTTTTAAGCTGGTTGAAAGGATTTGATTTTAAGAAAATTTGTATCTATTTAGATATGCTGAACGACCCAACAAAGTTTACCTGTCAGGAGGCAAACGAGTCAGGAGTGCCAGTAGGCCCTTTCCGGTTTTACAAAACTTACCTGTGGCCGCCAATGAACGCATTATTGGGCTATAATAATATTCGCAACCTAATAGTGACAACGTGTTATAAAATATTGGACCTTTTAGCCCCATTGCTAAAAATTAATTGGGGCAAACTTTTTAACAACAAAAATTTAGAAAGTTTAAAAGGATTAGATTTTCAGTTCATTGGAGAATTTATACTAGAAAGTAAAGATCACTTGCTGATGTTTACTGAAGATGCCTTAAAACAATTTGGCGTGCCGGAAGAAAAAATTGAAAAATACAAGAATGGGTTTACAAAATTGACAGAAGCGATTAAGGAACAAGATTTGAATTTAAACAATCTGATAGCTAAAATAAAGAATGGAAAAATATTTAACTGGAGATCGCTCTACGATCCAGGAAAATCCTTTTTGGAAAATGTAAAAAATTTCGATTTCAAAAAAATTGGTCAAATTTATTCGAGTTTGAAAGATAAACTGGACAGTATTAATGTGGACACCTTAGAGAAATATGGCTTGGAAATAATTTCTAAGCAGGTGAAGGATGTCAAACACGTCTTTGAAGGCTTCGAAAATACGATAAAAAGTTATGATGTTAAAATTAATGAAATGATCGGTAAAACATACGGTAACTTTACTGATAAATTTAAATACATTAAAGAATTAAAAAATCTAGGTTTGAATATTAAAAACGAACTTTTAAATAAAATTGGCGACCTTAATGTAACAGCTCTGAAGGAGAATCCGTTCACAATAGCCGACGAGGAGTTAGTGAAGGTTGACATCGATAGGTCTGACTGGAACGATTTGGTTCAGCGCGTCGGGGATAATAGAAATCCCTACGAACCTGTAGATCCGTATAAGATTGATTACAGGAAAACCATTGACGATCAGTGCTTAGTTATTTATCACGGATCAACGTCCTGGTACGAAGGGCAAAACATCTGCGCTGAGAACGATGGAAACCTCTTAGTGTTTGATGACAAGGTCCCACTAAGTGTCATGGATGACAAAAAAATTTTTGAGCTGAAAGATTTTTCCTCTTACTGGATTGGAGTAACTAAGAATATTTGGACGTGGAATGGAAAAAGTTAATTTTCAAATTTTGTTTTAAATTTCAATTTGATATTGTTTTGAGTTCTTACGTAATCATGTAATATTTTATGGTTTGTTGAAACACTATGGCATCATTTTTTGTCATTGTCTGAAATCCCCAATCCCCAACACATCTAGCAATCCTCAGTTATTTTTTGTTTTGCAAATTTCAGAAACACCTCTCATTTGGAGTTCCTTTTCAGCCTTTTCAGCGTTTGGAGATCACAATCTGGCATTTTTCCAAACGGGGAAGGAGGCAAACAGTTGGTACATTGCCAGGAGGTGGGACCCGGAAGCTGGAAAAAACTGTGTTATATGCATGACCAGTATGAACTGCCACTCAATATTTCCATTAACTTCATTTCTCTTTTATAAAAATAATTTTTGATAAATATATCTCAAAATTTTATATTATATTTGTTCAGTATTATTTTTATTTTTTTTAAATAATTGGCTAAACAGTTTTAGCTGTTATATTTGAAAATATATTTATAAATGCTTTATGAAGCTTTATACAAAAAATTATAATGAATTTCAGATGACAGCAAAGCCAGAAGTAAAAACTTATAATACATTTATTAATCAAAACAGTTAATTGATAATTTAATTAATTAATTAATTATTATTAATAATAATCCACTTCCAGATACTCTTATTTTTATTTTGGTTCCAACTGCAGCTATGATCCTTATTGCAGTTATAATAGGTTTCGTCGCATTTAAACTCGTTCTTCGGCGGAAGCAGTTAGGCATTTAGAGTTTCATTTTCTTTATTTTTATTTTTGATTAAAAACCTAAGTCAATTCAAAAAATAGTTTTTAAAATTCAAAACTTTTTCGATTGTTAATATTAATTTGTTAGCATTACCATATGGTATATATTAATATATATTTGACTTAATTATTACCAAATCATGTTTAAAAATTAGTTTTTTCTACAAAATGACAAAGAAACAAACCAAATTAAAACTTATATCTTATCTATGATTAAACAAATATTTTCTAGCATGAAGTTTAATTTTGATCTGAATAAATTAGTATATTAAAACTAAAAATTTTGTTTTTATTATAAAGATTGGTTAGTAAAATCATAATATTTTGATGACAAAAAAATTTATAATATTTTTAACCAGGAGAGAGCGTCAAGCGGAAAAAAGTCTACAAGAAACTGTGAATGATTTGCCAATAGGCGACGAAAACTAAAATAAGGAACCAAAAAATTTATTAACATGTTCTCGTGTGGCATTTTTTGTTTCAGCACCCGGAGCTTTTCATTTCGTGAAAAAGTCGTACATACCGATTTTCAAATAAACTTTCCTAGCATTTTAATGAAACCATTGATTTTATTTATTTAAAAAAAATACTAAACTGCCTTTTTTTATTAAAACATCGTGAGTTGCAGTTCATAAACATTTTTGCATTTTAAAAATGTAACAAACTAAATGAGCTTTTTCTATAATAAACAAACCGGTTAATTTTTCAAAACAGCATATTTGTTATGTTGCTATTTTAAAATATATCTGTTTATGTCAAAATTTTGAAAACTTCTCATTATTCCACCTTTTATAAAAAAATTAAAGGATGGCGACAACCGAATTAGTTGAAATAGCTCCACGAACTTGCGTGCAGTCGAGTGGCGGCTTATCTGATAGGGTACTTTCTTGCTTTTAATATGTAAAACTGAAGTCTGGCAGTTTGAGGTGTTTGTTGAAATTGCAATTAACTATCAAGTAAAAGATAAATGCTATTGCATTTTTACATATATATAAAAAAAATATTTTCTTTCTTTAAATTGTTTCATATATGTATAGGAATAGACGATAATTAAATTCTTTTAATCCATTCTTCTTTCAATAAAACGCGTCATTATCCGAATGTTTATTAAAACATTTGAAGAAATAAAAAGTTAACGCCAAAATTATTAATAACACCATTTATTTATTCATCAAAAACATTTTTTTGTTTTAAATGTCGAAGATTTGTATTTTATATGTAATACAACTTTCGCAAGTAAGATACATTTAATTAATTTATTTGCTTTTGCTTCTTTGTCCATCATTGAAGGAAATTTTTTTTAGATTTTGTGTATCTCATCAGAGGCGATGTGGTGGCGTGTGACATTGGCAATTACTGTTTCTCAGTAATCGAAATCAAGGGAAGTTCTGTGGTGAGCAGTTTGAAGCATGCAGACAACGTCTGCAGGCTAAAGAACAACGCTAGCTACCTGCTAGAAATTCGTCACAAATATTTGTTCGACGGCGTAAAAAAACTTCATAAACTCAATTACACATATAAGTAAAACTGTTTATCTTTTAAATGCCTATTTTGAGGAAAAACCAAATTTCATGAACGTTAAATACATGGAAGTTCCAAGTAAGTAATTGAAAAACTGAAAATTTTAATGTTCAAAGTTTTTTTTAATGTTAAAAATATCGATATTTATTTTAATTTCAGTTGAAACGTCAGAAAAAAGCGGTTTGAAAATTTCTGAAACTTCTTACAACTACGTTTACGCCACGATAAAAAAGTACACATGGGAATTCAAGACAGCTGATCACGAACAAGCATCGTTTGCTTGCTGCCCGCAGAGAGCTCCGAATGCACCAGGCCCATCTTCAGTGGAGCCAGGAGATTAACTCTTAATAGGGATGGGAAAGAAAATGTTGAAAATGCACGCGATGAACATCTCATGTATCGAGAAGAAATTTTTAACAACTATTTCAAAGTTATCGAGATCAATAAACATTCATTTGAGAAAAGTATGTTGGAAGAGACTGTTGATTTAATTCTTAACTCGAAAATGAAACTTTTTAAAAACTTTTCTACTTCCAAAAAACAATTGTCAGAAATGTACGATATTGTTAAAAATAAATTGTTAACGTTGGAAAACATAGATCATGATTCTACAATTTACAACAGATACAAAAAAATCATGATGCTAATTGTTTTAAATTATTGGAAAACAGAAAGCAACAATGGAACAATTCAATACATCCCAGTTCAGTCAACGAAAGTGCTTGACAAAGGTAAAGAGTGGTTTTTAAAACACATTAAGAAAGTCGATATCAGTAAAATATGCAAAATGACAGGGTCCTTACTGATTCCAAAAAATTATACAGAAAGTGATATTAACGAGGTCGGCATACCCAAATGGTTTTATATTGCCTATAATTTGTAGGCTATGCACTGTTGAAAAAGTATATGCCTGGTCCAGAAGCAGGTAAATTCGTTGAGAAAGTATGCCAGGTTGTGCACACATTCCTTTATCCAATTCTCCAATTTGATTGGAAAAAATATTTCGGGAAAGAAACTAATGGAACGTTTAAAAACTTGGACATGCAAACAGTCGGAGATCTCGTTGTGTTGCATGAAAATAATCTTTTTGATTACACGTCAGATATGTTGAAGGCAGCTGGAGTACCAGTGAAAAAAATTATTAAATATTTCGCAGCTTTCGGCAGCTTGAATAGAGCTATAGCAGATGGGAAACTGAATATAAACGCCGTTATTGGGAACATTAAAAACAGCCGAATCTTAAATTGGAAAAATTTAATCAGGAGTGGCGCTAAAACGTTGTACATTTTAAAAAACGTGGATTTTAAAAAAAGTTGGTCAAATTTACGCTACTTTAGAAGGTAATATCGAATTATTAACATTCACAATGGCTAGAAAGCTCGGCCTCGAAATTATGCAAGGTCATTTTGACGACCTTAAAAAAGCATTAACCTCATTTGCAAAAACTTTATCTAGGCTGAATATGAGTGCCACACAGATGATTGAAAAATTTTACGGGAGTGTATCTAGGAAGTTTGAGTACGCACTGCTCCAAAATGTGATCAGTCTGAATGTAAAACACAGGGCGTTGCACAAAATACTGACGCTACTTTCAGATAATGCAACGCTACACAAAAATCCATTCAGTGTAACTGACAAGATGTTGAGAGAATTAGATGTCGCCAGAGCAGAATGGAACACAGTAATTCAAAGAGCTGCTGATTATTACATGCCTCATAAAAACGTTCTTCCTACCAAAATTAGATACAGAAAAGTTATTTAAGAGCAATGTTTGGTCATATACAAAGCGGTTAGCTCGTGGTACAAAGGGCAGAATATGTGCGCTAAAAACAAAGGACACATGATCGTATTTGACGAAATCAATACAGTTAGCATCATGAGCACTCCAGAAATATTTTCAATTTATGATTTCAAGTCGTTCTGGGTTGGAACTACAAAAAACATTTGGAAATGGAGAAGTTTAGGTTTTTGGTTATCTAAAGTTACTGTCTTTTAGACTGATTAAAAAAATTATCCATGCATAATTTATAAATATTTCATCAAAAAACCAATTTAGGGCATGGAATGGTGTGGAGCGCCTTTTCAGAATACACAGCTTTCTCTAAAGGCCCTCACTATGCATATTTTCAATCTGGTCCCAACCGTGCTGGATGGTTCGTTTCGGAAAAATGGGATGAAGAAGCCAGTCAGAGAGCAATTATCTGCATGTCCAAGCTATCGTTCTCTTAGACAATATTTGTAGATGATGAAGACAAATAAGAAAATTGAAGAATACTTGAGTGGTAATCATAGTAACTTGGATGCCTCGGAGTTTTTTCTTTCCAAAGATGACGCCGTTGACGATGATAATTACGTCAAACCATCGAGTTCAGTAAATTTTTTTTCAACTATTTTCTGTTTCTACTTTTATGTGAAAAAACATTTTTTGGCAGAAATCAGCATTTAATTCTATTTAGTTAATTAATTACTAGAAACTTTTTTTGTTTAATTAGAAAAGAAAACGGTAAAGCCAACGACATCCAAAGGTTTTAAAAGTGTTTTTTATATATTAACAATAAAAATATAATGATTTATAAGGAAATTTTGGACGAATATTTCCGAAATGTAGATAGGTAATTTTTACCAAATTTTGTATTTTTAACTTTTACAAACCTATACCAAAAATTTTCTATAACAAAATTTTTATATAAAAAAAATCTTTACAAATTTTCATTTCAGCGAACCCAAGAACACTGTTCAAAAAGATTATTGTGATGTTTCTTATGTTCATTTTGCCAAATTGGTAAAAATCTTGATAAAATTTGATATGAAACCCTTCCGTCATTATGACCTCTTCTGATCCTAAACATCAAAAAACATCTTTAGTTGTGTGTAATTAATGTAAATAATAAAATTTTTTAGATAATTTTTCACATTTCTACATCAATACTCATCAGGATTATCGTTTTCACGACCATTCATGATTGCGTCATACCTCCAAGTTACCCAATTTAGTTACAAATCACTGGGACCTGTGTATTCAGCCTGGCATGTGAATACCGAAATTTCCTGCTCTCTGCACAATTTAGGTTTATTGGACGTTACACTTAAATGACCTGCAAAATGGAAATTTTTTTATTGGTGGGATCACGACAATGAGCATTATACAGAACACAATGTGAATTAAAAAAGAAGTAAGAATTATTATAAATGAGTATTGCTTAAGAGATATTTATTTCGGTTTTTTTCTATTCGCAGTTAAAACACCACAATTAACTTTTAAAAAATGAGCAACAAATAAGGATTGATTGACGGTTTCATGTATCTTTCTTTTTGTTGATAAAATAATGTTTTTTGCTTTCCATTCCGTTTCTGTTTTAATCTTTCCATTGTTTGTAGAGCTATGCTTATTCTCCGTTTTATGTCTTCTATAAAATTGATAAAACAAAGTTTTTTGTTTGCATCAATATACCTCTCCATTATTTGTCGAAAAATAAAGAATTGATCAATAGAGGTTCTGCCTGGACGAAAGCCTGCTCGCTCTTCCCCTGTAAATTCTTCAACATGGTTTTGTAGTCTTTTCTGCAATATCTTAGTGTAGACCTTGCCAGGTATGCCTAACAGAGGTTTTTTCTCCTTTTTTAGTCTCAATTTTAGTTTTGCCCTGATTAGTTTATAATCTATAATTAATTTATAATTTTTATTTTCTGCTCGTGAGTAGCTGGCTGAGAAGTCTCAGTATATCGAGCTGGCCAAATCATATCTTAGCTAGAGTATGATTGCCCTCTGCCAGCTTGTCTGAGTTTGAAGATATTCCGTTTCAAAGCATGAAACCATGTTTCATCCTATTCACCGTTGTCTTCTGGTACAGTTGATCCACTGCACCCTATTTCGTATTATTCGGTACAATTCCAAGGGGTTTCCCTGTCCTGGAGTTCTCCAATCCGCCACCCGGAAAACGCGCCTCAATGCTGTTGTACTCCAGCACGAGGAGCTTAATAAATATTTACATGTAAATCTATAAACACACAAACAGACGTATGCACACATAGTTTATGAATGTTCAAATATAAATAGTTAAATAAATCATCCTAGAATAATTGAAAATTAAAACAAAAATCGATTATATTCAGAAATCTGAACAGATAAACAAATAAAGAACAGATTGAAACATATATAGAGAATATAACATAAAATAAGATAATATAACATAACTTAATATAACAGAATATATGTATATACTCTATATATATATGCATTGAAATTATGATAAAATTATTGAACTTTAAATATAACTTGTTAATTTCAAGGCATTTTAGTAACTAGAAAGCAACAGACTCTAGTTAAAATGAAGGTTTTCTAAGTTTTGTAACTAAATCATCATCAAACTCACGAATTTGTTGATTTTGTTTTACTCCAAATAGTCTTTTGGTTGAAAGAGACTTTTATTATTAAATCATTTATCGCGTTCAAATCAAACCGATGATTCGAATTTTTTAAAACTATGTCAAAACCTGAGCATTGAGAACCTGAACCTTTTTTCGATAAAACATGAATTTTTGTTTCGATCTATTAACGTTTAATTAAATAGAATTATCAAATTTATAATTAATTATAAACAAAAATAACTAATAAATACCAAAAAAAAATTTGTTTGATTGCTTAGAAAACTTAAAAAAATTGAACTCTAAAGTGTGACCTGGTGCAGTAAGCAAAGAACAGAAGAATGATGACTCTCCAGGTACCAATAAATAACAACATTTTCATTAGCTAAATCGACATATTATGATCTAAAATAAATCGCAAATTCTTTCAAAACGAATGATTTGTCGTAGGTACGGATACAATTCTACTTATATACGCGTTTTGATTCACGTACAATCACACATTCGTACGAATGAAATAAGTTTTAATGATAAGGCCCAACTTTGATTTAATTGGATTGGAATAAACAATTATTAGAAATTTGTGACGAGAGTTGATAAATTAGAATGTAGAGAAAATTGGAGAGATTATTATCACAGGAAAGAATGAGTGAATGACTACATGAATAAATAACTTGATTAAGTTATTGATTAATTTATTTAATAATTAAATTATGTAACATATTTTTACCTCATGTTACACAATATTATTTATATTTATTGCATTCTTTTAATTTTGAGGGATAACCAAAAAATGGTTGTCATAAAATTTTGTAAAAATAGGAATCACCTTCTCTTTTCTAGTTTGAAAAACTTTGGATTGATAACTGTTAATATTTTACAATAAACAAATAAATTATGTAACGTGAAACATATTACGAGCAGACAAATTAATTGATTACTTGGAAACAAATTATAAATCCATCAAATTCATAAATATCTGTACCGTTCAACTTTGAAAGTTTCCCATTCGTATTTTAAATTGGACGATGACGAGTCACTGAAAACACTTTTGACGTTTTGCAAAGGAAGTTTTGGTCATTTTTATACAAGAAATATGTTCAGTAAACAATTTTTTGTTCATCTCAATTAATTGATATAATTTAATTGGATTTATAATGGTTTCGCTTTAAAGTTGAATTTTGAGAAATTTTATTTCAGTTTAGATAATGATTGTTTCGGTGACGATGGTGATGATGATGATGGTGATTGTGGCAATGGTGGTGACGATGGTGACGATTCTGTGGGTGGCTGTGGAGATTTCCAAAGTGTTGAGAGCGTCTTTGAGGTTTTTATCGTTACTGGGAGTTTCCTGTTTTAATTAAGTAATCAAAAAGTTATTGATATTGATAAATTAAAAAATTAATTAAAATTATCAAACAATAATTATTAAATAATGACATAATATTTCGTTATATTAAATTTTAAAATATTCAAATTCGGAAAATCATATGGTCCATATATGTATACACAAAAAATCTAGAAATAGTTCGAATTAATTATATGTTTGAATCATTAATTTTTTCACTATTCCAGAAATTCGCTCGTTAATTTAAAATTTTTATTTATCAATAAAAATATGAATAAGCGTTCCAACTAACAATTTAAATTATTTCAAATTACGCGATTGAAAAATTTTCCATAAATTTTTCATAAATATTAATTTGGTGATCCATATTTGTCCTCCAAGTTATTTATTTAATTCATTTTAAATTGCTATTTAATATTTCTCAGAAATATAGTCAAGAGTGCCTATTAAATACGATGCACCACAAACACATTGCATAAAAAAATTCGGGATTCACTTTGCATTCAAATGCAGTCACTGCAACAACAGTGCCAGGCATCTTGACCACTACACCATTGTGCAAACCCCAGCTCATTCAATGACTTGTTTATTTAAAAATAAATTACGTGACCTTTGAACCATTCTTATCTTGTACGTTCACGATGTAATAGAGATTTTAATAAGGAAAACAACAAAGAATTATTTAATAAATTAATTTTGAAGTGACGTAAAGTTCAATTCTTACTTTTTTTCAAAATATCTTTAACGGCGGCGACTATTGTAAGTGAAGTTATCAGAACAGTTGATACTGACCCAAAGATCATGTGATACATTAATGTCTGATCTTGGGTTTTGTTTATCAAATGTTTTGTTGTTAATTTCAGCATCATTGCTATTAATATTAGTAAAAATAATAATATGAAGAAGAATGATAATAATTTGCAACTTCCAAAGACGGCGTCTTCAGACTGGGAGGGCATCTTCTTTTCTGATCGTTTCCTCATGAAACACCTTTCAACCGACCTCACCGACTTCTTCAGTGAAACTCTTTGAAAACTTCCGCCCCTACTCGCCACCTCCCTTACTTGATTGCCGACAGTGTCGTAGTAGCACTTGAAGCTACTTGCGTAGTATAACTTCCATTCTACCGCCACACAATACAGACTCAAATTTTTTAGACATACTTCTTTGCAGTTTTGTTCAGTGACTATTTCTGGCATTTCAATACTTGATGGGGATTTTTCGGTTTTGTGTGATGTCCAAATGTTCAGACAATCTGTAGAAGTTAATGTTAAGTTAATAATTACTGTGTATCAAGCTGACTATTGCAAATACAAGTTGCACTGTGCGCTCTGGGGTTCTCAATTTCATCATTAGGATGAGGATTGGACAACCTCCAATTAAAGACATTAAACAACTTTTGTTGTTTATAGTCTGCGTTTTTGGATAGTCTGAAAAAGAGCTATGTATTTTTCTCTAGCAAGAATAATGATATAATGATATAATTTTGTGAAAAACTCTGAATTAAATTAAAAACATTGCGTTTATGATGAATTTTTTAGATCATGAAATGAAACTCTAATTTGTTTAAAAAAAAATTTTAAATTTAAGAATGTATAAACTAAATTCATCTGCATAAAATTTCAGCGAACCAGCCATACAGAGAACTGAGTATTGAGCATCGGCAGAACATTCAACTGCTTGGATGGTTCTGTTTCTAGCCAGGTACAACACATCTTTGCATTCTTTTTCATTTGAAACCGCATCAAACACTGAATCAATATTACATTTTCGGAGTTATATTTAAGAAAATAGACAACGAGACTGGCTGGATAAAGGTTAAAAACAGTAATATTTCTCGAATAAACGATTTTAGTAACTTTAAAATTTTCAAAAACTCTTTATTAAAAAAAGTTCGTACGGCAGAATTAACAACCAAATAATAATTCTGCCTCATCCACTAATACACGGCCCAACAAACCTTCCAACTCAACTCCACTATACCAAGTGTACTTCTTCATTTTACGACTATACCGAGCGTACAAGAGAAACCTCGCATCTTCATAATTTTCATCAACAAACTCATCAACAAAGTCTCTAAATTCTTTTGTCCTAATTTCAATAGGAACAGCTGCTTGATAAGTTTCAGAGCAGGAAGATGTCAAGCCGGAGATGTTGGATACCATCTCGCTCACTGTGAATACACAAAATGCCTGGCTTATATCGCATTTGGCTTTCAAATATGGTTTAGATTTAGCGGTTTGGAAAATAATCTCAATGAAAATTGCCAAATATAACGACATCAATGATTGGAAGAAACTTATAATTGACGAAAGTTTCATTAAAAATTTGTGTTTCAATTATTGTTAGTTGAAGAATTTTAAGCAATTTCCTTAAACTATAGCATTATATTTTGCTTATAATTTGACGGTTACTTGCTCATAAAGATGCATAGAGATCAATTATTTCGTATTTGCATATTGTTAGTACTTTTAATCAGTTTATTGGTTATGGATATCTCTTATTAATTTTATTAAAAGTTGTATAAATTTAGTATCTTGATATCTTAGATACTTGGATATTTGTATCAAACAAACATTTTGAATTGAAACCTCATAAAATTAATCCGATTGTACTTATTAACACTGAAAATAAAAATTTTTCATCTGTAATATTTATTATTTATATTATTATTTTGTTTATAAACATCATTATTTGGCGCTTGAAGTTAATAATCAATTGTTCAGTTAACATTGTAGCCATGTATATTATCATTGCTGTCATCTGTAAGTATTATTAAAAACTTTCTTAAAAAATTATTTTTTTTTATTATTATTATTATTATTTGTATCAGTAGAAATAATAAAGGTGATATCAGTAGTACCAGCAATAATAGGCCTATTTATAATTGCATTAGTAGTTGTTGTTAACAACAATACATAGTAGTAGTAGCAACAACAGCAGCAATAGTAGCAGTATTAGTAGTAGCAGTAGTAATGCTTATTGTCAGGATCTGGTATTTTCACACATCTGGTCTGGAAATACGAAAGAGGCGAGGTTAAATATCGTTCTATAGCAATCAACATCAAAGTCTATGAATCCGTTGTGCCTGGAGGAAACTGATGATAGGCAGAATGGTTGGTCGAACTAGCAATATGATTTGATTAGTGGAGTAGAATAACCAAAAGGAAGCAATACTCAACGAGTTCCATGGTTTTTATTTAAATATCATTTATTTGCTGGTCTAGGTTAGTTTTTATATTTGAATAACGCCATTGAATTTTGTTACAATTTTTATTTCAAATTTTTTTATCCATTTAAGTTTGGAATAAACGAGAAACGTAAAAAAAAATCAGTCAGAGTTGTGTTAAAACTGATTTTTGTTTGCCCGCTTGAGATTTCAGTGGAATGTTTTCGACTTTTTCTTGATCTTTATTATCCTCCATCTTGCTTTTGTTTATTTGATTTGATTCTACAGTCTCTGGTCTTGGGCTTGAACTGAAAAAACATAATACACAAAAAAATGAGCTTTGAAGCACAGGAATCATTAAAATAAAATGTCGATGGAAAAACTCTTGAAAATCTTATTTAAAATCAAAAATTTTACATCTTTAAACGTTCAATTATTATTGACTGACTCATTTTTTTTGTAGAAAGAAAACAAGATAGCATCGATAATCAGAGAGACAACGGAAGCGGCAATGAATACTGACAGAAGTGCCTGTAGGATTCGAACTAGAACTCTTTCTTCTTTTAAAACTGCTTTCACTTGTTTTGAAAAAAGTTTTTACGTGTAAACATTTAAAAAACTCTTCTTTAATCCTGCGTTTTTCATTGTTTAATTATTAGAAATATTAGCGGAAATAGTTTTGTTGGTGAATTTGTAGACACTCCAAAATGAATAAGAACCTTTCGCAAGTTCCTCTGCCAGAAGTAAATTTTCATTCATTACATTTTCTAGAAAAAAAAATTAGCACTGCTTGTCAAATGACAAGTAAAAATATCTTAAGAAAAATAATTTTTTAATTCATCACGATTTGCAATTATTAATATTTTAAAATAGTAGTTTAAAAAATAATTCGAGGCTTCATTAAAAATATTTTATTGCCAGCTAAATCAGGGGTGGGCAAACTTTTTGCTGTGAGGACCACATGGAGAACTGTTTTACCTTTGTACTTGAATTGCCAATTTTTTCGACCCGGGAAAGAGTTTTTTAAGATTTGTGATTCCATTTTTGTTCATAATGTCTGGCTGATGACTTTTGTTGGCGAACAAGACCTTGCGGGCCGCTTTAAATAGCTTCGCGGGTCGTAGTTTGCCCACCTCTGAGCTAAATAACAAAAAAAATCAAAAAGACATAAAAAAAAATTAAAAAAATACTTTAATACATACATAGAACAACAACAAACAATACACAAACAAATAAATACACGATACAGGAATGTCCATACAAATATACCTACTAACCAAACATACAGATGACACCAAATGAGCTGTCCTCATCCCTTGGACAGCCTGTAACACGGACTCTTGAATGGTAATAGTAGAACAAGGCATCTCTGCAACAATCTATCTTCTTTATCTTCGACAAAATGGAAACTGTAATCATTTGTTTGTTTAGGGATTATGTTGAAGTTTTAAAAAATATGTATTTACCAAATTAATTTTTTATGAATGTATATAATTATACGTTATAATATTTAATACTAGCAAAATGGTAAAATTTGAGGTATGAATAAATTGATATTAATTCATGAAAACACTTTTTAAAATGTCAAAATATTTATAAAATCAAAAAAAAATGTTCTTGAAAACATCAAACTAATTCTCACCTCCATAACTGGTTCCTTTTCGCCCCCATACCCATTTGAAGTCCACATTTCGAACGTTCAACACGTACTTAACACTTCGATTGAAGTTTCTAAACACGCATCCACCGATGATGTTGTTATAAATTTCCAATGGAAAGCTACCAGCTTGCACGTTTTTGGAGCAGTGCTCTTGAGCCTCTTGGAAAGTTTTAACATACACAACTGTGTCATTCTCAGGTTTCAAAATGCACGTAGTGTTGTTATTATCGCAACAGACTCTATCTGTGGTGTTATACTTTTGTATGTAGTTTTCGTTTGATGAAGCAGCAGCAGTAGTTATAATAAAGTTAAGTGTTAGTACCGATAACCATAGATCGATTGATAAGTGGAAATATATCACCGAATTTAGTTGATAACACATTTTTTAGTTAGTTTTTGTTCGTAATATGTCGGGTTTGAAAAATTACCAAATTATCAAATCAATGTTTCATTTTATTTTATTGAAAATGATTTTGACCTGGTCCAACTTTTTCTAAATAATTTTAAAGTTAATAACCATTTATAAAATTATTTAGTCAAGATATATATTCAGTTATGTAATAATAACAATAATTGTTTTGCAAAAATAAGTTTGGTGATAATAATAATAAATACAAATTTATTTGAATGCAAGGTTATTGATAAATGATTGTATTATTTAGAGTGTTATATACCTGTGGGCCTGCAACGTGCTCTAGATTGAAATACCAAATTAATTCAATTTTCAAGGTCATGTTAATTCCAAAAAAAATTTATAAAACTAATCAAACAAAAATAGTTATTTTTACTTATTGTAAATAAATTAAATTTTATCGTTTTTTTAAATTGAAGAATAAGATAACATAAATAAAATAATTCGCTAATAAGTAAAGACAGAAACATTTACTGAACCTGGCTGAAAAATATTAATAGTAATTTAAAATATTACAGCCGAACGAACGAACGAACGAGCAAACAAACAAACGAACGAATCAACAAACTAACACACACAAAACTCATTAATCATAGTAACATTCAGACTCACAATTCCAGATATTTAATTTTGTTTGTTCTTAAAGGTAAGCACGGTACAACACAGTAATATATAGGCACTATATACAGTACATTGAATTTGGCTATACATACACTACAATACAATACAACCAAATTTTAGATTAGTCAGTGCTAGAAATGTAGCTAGTATACCATAGTTTTTTTTCAATTTCTGTTATTGATGCGACAAAACTTGCTAAGTAAATTTTTCTCTTCTTTCAATGGTATAGTTTCACTTTGATTTGTACTTTCTAAAGAAAAATTTTTAAATAAAATTTCATACGGTAATTTAATGAATTCAACAAAAAATTGATACGAAGCATTAAAATTTTGGTAAATTAATATGTAATTAATTCTCCTAATCGACTGAATGGTTTACTCAATTAGTAAAATTAATTTACATATTACTTTAATTAACAAATGCAGAATTAACCAACTTCCAGATATGGAAAGCCACAAAGGCAACGATCAACAAGATGGAGAAAAAAAGCACCGTTATACTTGCTGGGCTCTTTAAACCTGTCAGAAGATGGTGGCGTTGAGAATAATAGATTGATGATAGGTACTGATTGGATTGTGGTAACTCTTACTCCGATTGATTTCGGAAGTAGAGTAATTGAAGTTTTTGGAATTGTTAGTTGCGTTGTTTTTCATGGATTTAAATTAAAATTGTGATATTTTTATCATAGAAAATACTGAAAAGCTTCTCACCTCGTCCAATTCTTACTGTTGAAAATGAAATTTTATTAAAACTGTTAATAAATAATTTCTCATTCATTATCCTCACTCGCCAAACATTCAAGAGGAATTTTAACTCCAATGAGAAATTTGAAAATGATCACAATTAATATTTTCAGTTTATAATTTAAACTAAGAAAATAATTTCAACAGGATTTTTTGAAAAAAAAAGTAAATTTGAAAAAAATAAAGTTGAAAAAGAAATAAACCGAAATCTGTTGAACACTCAATCACGTCAAAATATGGATGATAATCGAAAACCATGATGTCCCCCACTAGGTCAGATGCGTTCTTAACCTTCCAATCCAGACACTCCTCGCCAACTCTCGCCTTATTCATTATAGGAATCGGGTAGCAGTAGTTATGGATGTTTGGATAGCTTGTGTTTTGCTGTTTGGCGAAACAATCATCTGTCGTTTCGTTCGTCACCAGCAACCAATCAGTGGCCAGGTGGTGTGGCGTTAGAGATTTTTTTTTCAGCAAGCAAACTGCATTTACCGGGGTTAATTAATTAATTATTCAATCAATTAGTTGATTAATTTGTTTAATTATATTTATCTATTTATTTTTTAGGTAATTATTTATTTATATGTTTGTTGAGAAAAAGCCAAACTTGAATGCAAACCAATGAAAGAAACCATTCGCAAAGTGATTTACATCCCGACGAACCTTGCAACTTGGCAAACATTTCGATGTCCCGGATCTCACAATTGTTCATAACGTTGACCTCGTGCATTAGCAACCGGATCGTGCATGAATCCTTCTCTTCCCGAGATTTCCACAACACGATTGAATCCTTTCTCTCGAATATCTTCTCCATCACCTCATCCGATAATCCAATTTTACGAATCATCTCCGAGGTAGCAAACTCGACGAATGAATGTTTCTGATGTTCTCTCGGGAAGATCCCATTATGCTGGTAGCACTTGGAATTCATGTCCCAATTGAACATCGGATACCGACGATTGTGTTGGTCTGGCTCGGTGATGAACTGCATCCAGCAGATGTCGCGAGTGCACCAGTTGATGACACTCGGAATATAGGAGGCTGGAAAAATTCGGTAGAAACCAGTCTCATCTTCTTCTGTGTTGTGGTAATAATAATCTTCACATAAAACGCTTGTTATGTGTGTCGAAATGATTAGTAGGCATAAAGTTTTCATCTTTGCTTCCTATTTAGATAATTTTTTGAGCTCTTTTCAAATTGATTTACTGATAATTTGTTAGTCTAACTGTTTGTTATCATAATTTGTAAAATTTAGTCAAATTAGCAACTTATTTCCTTTACAAAATACAAAAATTAAGAAAATCCATTTAAATTCAACATAGAAAAAAATCACACAAAGAAAATAATAATTTAGCAACGTAATTAAATTAAAAAATTAATTTTCAAACTCAAAAAGAAACTCAAAATTATAATGAGGAGTGTTTGCCTTGTGTTAGCTACTCTCTCCATGCCAATGACTAACCTGTGTTGTTGTGTTTGTATCATGCCTCCAGATGCAAACAGTTCAAAGTCTGATGATGCACAAACATAAAAGACACGCGCATTTATACAAACACACTACTGAACATAAACACATTCAATCATATATCATCTCTCTTTCTCTCTCTCTTTTTACCCTCTCTCTCTCTCTCTCTCTCTCTCTCTCTCTCTCTCTCTCTCTATCTACCTATCCATCTATTCATCCATCAATCCATCCATCCACCCACCCACCAATCCATCCATCAATCTATTTATCTATATATCTGTCTATCTGTCTGTCCATCTATCTATCTATCTTTTGGTGTAATAAATTCTCTGTTTGTTTTGTTTTAAATATTTTCAAAAATATATCGCGATTTACATTTATTTTGTAAAACTTTTTAACATGTTTTCATCAGCTTGCAATGTAAGTTTTGAAAGAAAAAAACAGTATTTATTAAATAAAAATTCTGCTTCTCAAAAATAAAATACGAAGAATTGAAGAAAATCTAAGTTGGAAAATTATTCTTCTTATGTTGGCGATGGCGGAAACTTGAAGAAGTAAAAAAAATATGATAAGTTAAATAAATAAATAAATAATTTATTAGTAATCTCATATTAACAAATGAAGTATAAACTATATCTATAAAATGAATGAACTACCAATATCAATATCAGTGAAAAAGTATAAACCATTAAGTATTTTAGTTTTATATAAACTCCGTTGAAATATGCTTCCATATCCCACCAACAACCAGCTAACCAAATTATCTAGGTGGCCACTCCTAACTTCACCAAGGCCTTCCTTATCTTCTTCTTCCTCATATGCTCTTGATTCTAATTTTGAAAAAATATTTATTATTATTATTATTAGTAGTAGTACTAGTAGTAGTAGTAGTAGAAGTAGTAGTAGTAGAAGTAGTAATAGTAGTAGTAGTAGTAGTAGTAGTAGTAATAGTAGAAGTAGTAGTAGTAGTATTTGAAGTTTTATAGGATTCTACTATCCATTGGTCTAAATGTTTTTGACCTGAACGCTTAAATATTTGTCGTGAAGTGAATACATACATATATGAATAGGTTTTATGAATAAGTTATTAAAACTAATTAAAATTAATACACCGGAAAATTATATTATCATTATTCTCTGCTAGACATTCTCCAGAGGTTATGATTCAAATGCTTTATTGGACCAGTGCGTCTCAAGTCCCTGTCTGAATATTTCTTTTAGTTGGATAGAGAACCGCTAATTTTTGTAACAATTTGATCGAACCATTTTTATAAAATCGGGAGAAATAAAAACAAAAAAAAATGAAGAAATGGAACATGCACCTAACCATAAGTCTGTGGGCCTTTCGAACTCGAGAAACATTTTGGATGAAGGCAGTTTATCTATGTAGTTACAAATTAATAGCTAGTCAGGTCAGATAATTTTTTGATATAATTATTTAGATCATTATAAATATATATGTATATTAACATTGATGCTGAATCGTGAAAAGTTTAATCAAGTAATAAAATCAGCGTAAAACTCTGTAATAGTTTTTCTTTTCATAAAACTATCCTAGGCTCTCACCGCATTACCCACCAAAATGATTACAAATTCTGAAGAGATAAAAAAAAGATGAAAAAATGTTCTGACGTGACTAACGTGCCACGAGGTCAAGACAGCGTCGGGTAAAGTTTGACCTACTTTCGTTTGGTGACCTAATTTCGACCGTGCACTTTTTACGCACCCATTCAAAACCATCACAAACGCTCTTAAGCTGGCAAAGTTTCCTGCATTTGTACTTGCTTTTTAAAGGGAGTTTCAGCATAAATTTTGGCGTCAAGTTTGTTCTTTCTAGTTCTATTCTGTTACAATCTTTGTGTATGTGTGTGCGTGCGGATGTGTGTGTGT